ATCAGCAGCAGCATCGTCATCATCAGCAGCAGACGCAGCCAAAGCAGCAGCATTATTATCCTCGCCCATCATCATCATCAGCAGCATCATCATCATCATCATCATCATCATCATCATCATCATCTTCATTTTCATCATCATCATCACCAGCAGCAGCAGCAGCAGCCGCATAGTCATCATCATCAGCATCGCCATCATCATCGTCATCGGCATCATCAGCAGCATCATCATAAGCAGCATCATCAGCGTCAGCATCATCATCAGCAGCAGCATCAGCATTTTCATCATCAGCAGCATCAGCATCAGCATCATCCTCAAGAAACGCGATTGCATCATCAGCAGCAGCATAATCACCATCATCAGCAGCATCCTCACAATCATCATCATCACCACCATCATCATCATCAGCATCCCCATCATCATCATCACCACCATCATCATCATCAGCATCATCAGCAGCATCAGCATCATCATCATCATCATCATCATCATCATCATCATCATCATCATCATCATTATAAGCAGAATATGCATCATCATCGGTAGCATCATCATCACCAGCACCAACAGTATCAGCATCATCATCAGCATCATTAACATCATCAGCAGCATCATCATAATCTGAGTCGTTTCATGAGTTTGCCCCTGAGGTGACTCTAGGTGAGGAGGAGAAGGAGGAGGAGCAGGAGGAGGAGTGAGTGGGAGGAGTCGGCGCGGTCGAAATATTTATTCACTGCGTGGAGCGCCCCATATGTGCATCTATTTGCATGGACCGTTCCGCCGTGGGTGTCTTGGCACAGGAGACTTCGAATATGAGTGGGCTTGGATATTAATAGGCTGGGATTGAGTCGAACTGTGAATGGGTTGGAGTATGGACGAGTCTCAGTAGTACGAGTAAGTCTATGCGTATGGGCCTGAGGCCTCCTGGGGCCTCCTGGGGCTGCCTGGGGCCTCCTGGAGTCTCCTGGGACATCCTGGGGCCTCTACGGGCTCCCGTGGCATCACGAGGCCTCCTGAGGCCTCCTGGGGCCCTTTCGGGAGGATTCGTGCCCTAGGGGAGTCCCGGTCCCAGTCTATGAAACGTACGTTAAACACATAGATCTGGAGCCATTTTTTTTGTACACACCAGGCAGCTCGTGCAGCACGAGCCGATCCCGCCGCCAAAATGGCGCGAGCCGCGGAGCGCGGCTGGGAGGCTCCGCAAACAGCGGCCTCCACAGTCAGCGTGCACGCCACGCTGCGTGGGTGTGCGCCGTCAGGTGAGGCAGCCACGCGAGCCACCATCCACCCCGTGCCAGGCCTGAAAAGGCCTAGACCACCGAAGGCACTCCCCAAATCACTCACTCAGGCGCCTGCCCGTCTTCGGGTCCAGGCCAGCCCTGATGTTGGCAATCTTCAGGTTGCGCAGGCGCAGCGCGTTGCCAGAGGCAGCCACGCACAGCCTGCCGAGCGACCTGTGCTTGCCGTTGAGCTCCTTGGCATAGGCCTTGCAACGAGTGCAGATCCTGAAGCCGTTGATGCTGAGCAGCTCGTGGCCTGCCCCACCTGCTGCCTGAGTGCCAGATCCCTCGGGCGCGTCCTCCGACATGGAGACCTGGGCGACCTCGAGACCTGCAATTGCCTGGCCGTCGGCGGGATACGCCTCCGCCCTGCCCTCGGCCTCGCGCGCAGCGCGGGCAGCTGCCGCTGCGCGCAAGAGGGCATCGCCAGCCGAAAGATCCTGGCCGCTGCTGCTGCTGCTGGTGCCACCGCCTGCCGCCGCCGCCTCGGGGCGTTGCAGATCCTGCAAGCCCGCAGCAGGATGCTCGCGGGCGGCGTCAGCGAGCCTCGGCGCTTCCTGCTGGAGCTCGGCGTCGGGGTACGCCACGCGCTCGCCGACGTGAGCGCTCCTCGCCTCCTGCTCAAGCCTGTGCGCAGCCGCCAGCGCCACTGCCACAGCGCCTGCGGAAGCCAACGCCGACGCCGTAGGCTTGCTTCTCGTGCCACTAGCCACGGGCGCAAACGGCTTGGCCACACACGGGTCCTTGAGCAGCCTCTTGATGCTGAGGTCCGTGTACGCCGTCTTGAGGCAGGCCCTGCAATGTACTCCACCTCTCGCCACCTTGACGACGTTGTGCCTTGTGACGCTGAGCGGAGGCCCCTTGTGAATCGGCTTGCAGTTCGGGTCGATGTCCAGCTTCAGGTCAGCTGCCTCGCACCCCGCACGCGCAACCCAGCGCGCAACTCCGTCGAGGGTGAGCGAACGCCGCTGCCAGGCTTCGCGTAGCTCAAGCGGCGCCCTCACTGCAGCTGCAACCGCCTTCGCCGTACGGTCGGCCTCCCAGTTGCCTCGCCTGTCGCGTGCAGTGATGTCTCCGTTGCGGACCATGGCCGACGTGGCGTGCGCCTTCACTTTCTGAATCGTGAGCCCTTGGGGCCCAATGCCACCGAAGTCGTCCAGAGCTGCCCAGACGCGCCTCCATACGCATCCCCAGGCAGAGGTCGCCTTGGTGGTGCTGGCCTCGCCCCTATCCAGCAGGCCCTTGGTGACGTACGAGGCGTCGAAGGCCGCAGTGATAGGTGGCAGGCTGTGGCGAAGAAGCGCCAGGCACCACGGGAGTTCGGCCCCGTCGATGGACTGCAATGGCCCA